CCCCCCCTCACGCTAGGCCCTGGAGACTAGCCAGAGATCCTCCTACCCCGCTTGGAAATGAAGGTGAGGGAATATAGCAGCTTTGCGTGGAGATAAATGGCAGGTTGAGGAGTAATGTAACGCTAAATGGAGGATAGAAGCAAGACCGATAACTGAGGAAAAGAGAGAGACGGGTAATGACGGGGGTTGGGGGGAGGGCGTAATAACAGGTTGGGGAGTTTAATAACAGTAGTGGGGGGAGTATAATAACGGAGGGCTTAATAATGGGGAATTAATTTTTTTTGGGGGGTATAATAGCGATAGATTTTTTGGGGGGTTATTACTAGTAGATAGGGGGATATGATAACGGTGGCTGGCGAGTATTATAACGGTACATGGTAACTACTGTATAATAACGGTGATTGACGAGTATTATAACGGTAGATGGCGAGTATTATAACGGTACATGGTAACTACTGTATAATAACGGTGATTGACGAGTATTAACGGTAGATGGCGAGTATTATAACGGTACATGGTAACTACTGTATAATAACGGTGATTGACGAGTATTATAACGGTAGATGGCGAGTATTATAACGGTAGATGGCGAGTATGTATTATAACAGCAGCCGGTGAGTACTGCTTAATAACGGTGACTGACGAGTATTATAACGGTAGATGGCGAGTATTATAAAGGTAGCTGGCGAGTATTCTAACGGTAATTGGCGAGTATTCTAACGGTAGTTGGTGATTATTCTAACGGTAGCTGGCGAGTATTATAACAGCTGGTGAGTACTGTATAATAACGGTGACTGACGAGTAGCTGGTGGGAATGATAACGGTGGCTGGCGAGTATCATGCGGTAGATGGCGAGTATTATAATGGCAGGTGCCGAGTGTAATGACGGCTGGTGTAGAGTGTAATAAGTGACTGGCTCGTATAATAACTGTAGGAAGGACAATTTACCAAGAAGTTTGAAGACTGTGTAAGAGGCAAGACCAGTAGTAACGTTAATTCGACGAGTTTGGTAACGGTGACTGTCTTTGGCTAACGGTGTATAATGAGAAAGGTGAGAGGGGATATTGGTAATTGAATGGTGGAAACGGAGGAGGGTGAGGTATAAGGGGCAAAGGGGGGTACGTGATGTAACGATTGTCCATGAGAGGGGGCGTGAGATAACGATAGGTGGTGGGGGAGAGGAGGGTGTGAGATAACGATAGGTGGTGGGGGGGTAGTTAGCAAGAACAGGTGGTGAGTGAGGTGGGTGGCGTTACAGCTGGCGTGGTCGGCCAAGGTCAGTTAGTGTTTAGGGTGCTGGAGGCAGCTAGCAGGCAGGCTGGCTAGCAGGTGGTGGTGGTGATCGGCCTGCAGCGACCCGACCCTCCGCTGCCCAAGAATAATGGCATCATAAACTTGTTGAGCAGGAGGCCAGCAGGAGGGGGAGCGCCACGCCACCACCACACGCCCCGGCAAACTGTTCTACGCACGCCAGTCGCTACTGCTTGTTCCTTCTGTTATTCTCTCTCCCGGTGTTCCTGACTCTTGCTCTTCGTTCCTACACTGTTGCAGTTTCCATTAAATGTTCTTTCCTCGTGTACAAGTTGTTACTTCCTTCCAGATCTTCCGTTTGTTGCTGATAATGTTAGTCTCTTGTTGTTGTTGGCTGTTTGTCCGTCCAAGTGTTCTTGCCTCTTGTTGCTCTTGATGTGAATACTTTACTGCTTTACCTTCTTGATGGAGCTTTGTCTTGCCTTGTCTCGTCTCGTCTTCTCTTGCCTTGATGTTTTTGTTGCCTTCTCCTCCTCCAGTGGTACTGTTGTCGTGGGTACTTCCTGTCTCTTCTTTTATTGTTCCCAAACTATAAGAATTACAAAAGCCTCAGGTTTAATTTCTTTCCGTTCGATGAAACTTAGGCAAAAAGTGTAGCGTATTCGACAATGTGTATGTGTGTAATTGAGAAAGTTAAACATAGGCTGTCGATTTGAACCTGAAGAAAATAATTGCCTTCTATTCCTCTATTCCACCTGGGGAATTGATGCTTTATATCAGGTTTATGGGTGCGATTGAGAGTACCGTAATTTATAGTGTATGTATGTATGTATGTATGTATGCGTGTCAGTGTATTTCAGACTTCCGCGTATGTGTATCGGGTAATCTGTTAACTTGGTACGTGAGCTGTGTGTATAGAGATAAGGAGAGGCTGCAATAAAACTTACAGTACGTGTATGAGGGATATTGGAAAAATATATATATACAAGATAACCGGGTTTCATGGACAGTGTAAGTTATGGTTCAGCTACACACAACAGCCAGGATTTTAATGTACAGGTTTCGTCCCTTCGATTCCAACAAAACGTTAAAAAAAAAAATCATCTTATAATTGATAGATTTTTTTAATATTATTTTTACTATCTTGAAACACCTGTGCTGAGGTTTGTTACAGTGTCGGCTTTGGTTAGTATATAAAGTACCATAGAGATGTGTTGAGTTATCACAAGGAATAATTTTGTTCTAAACGGCTGTCTCGCCAAATGACTTGACATACGTGTAACAAGAGGCAGGAAGAGAACTCATTCCTGGCTGTGACGTAGTAATAAACATCTCGACCTTGTAATATTTTAGAGGCGGGAATTGGTGCGGACGCGTAAAACCTTCCGTCACTCAAGTAAGATCCAATTATATGCATGACTTATATTTCCTCCGCTCAGGTGTGAAGCTTAAGGCCAGGTGTGTGGGTTTTAACGAGTAATCTTTTAAATTTGCTTACCGGTTTGGAATCGTTGTTTTATTAGTTTTTATAAATTCCTGTTAAATAGCGATGCATAGATTGTGTATGTTTTGATGCACAGACGCGCGTACGCTCACACACACACACACACACACACACACACACACACACACACACACACACACACTCACTCTTACTTGCATTGTCCACACACTTGCATTGTCCATATCATTAAAAACACCTTTTCACTCGTGGGGAGACTGTGCAGGGACGTGTTATCAGTTGGCACAAAAATCGGAATAAAAACATTCGTAAAATTTCGTGTCTGGTTCCAACTCCCACCTGACGAAGTAGTGAGTAAGGTAATCTTAAACCCGCCTCGGCATCCATTCACATCAACGTCTGTGGCGATCTTTGTGACGACGGTTAATACATTCACTCTGATTTTAGTTGGCATCTTAATTTCCTGGGATGTGATAGTGTAATGTTTTCGCTTTGTTTACACGTTACCTGACTCCGTGCAGCCTGGATGTTTAAGGAAAGGCCGCGTGTGTGGGGGTAGGTCACATTACTATTTCTCTACTTTCATTGAACTCTTCCCCATATTTATTCATAGTAATTGTTGTATTTTCTCGTACGTAAACTCTGTGGTCAGCGAATGTAACTTAGTGCTTCCCGTTCATCAGTTGTAATCTACGTGTCCACTGTGTGCTCAAGTCAAGCTAGTAGAGACAGGGCGCGGCTGGTTCTCTGCCAACACAGTAGTATGGTTCGGCTTTCTTTGATATTAGGACGGTTGATTACGGTGTTCATCCCGGAGGAAAAAAAGTGTCTTTGGAATGTAAACAAATGCCTTGGTGTGTTTTGGTTGGGTCGTGGCTAAAGAGGTAGACATCTAAGCAGGTCGTCCAGGTGCCTCGGGTTAAGTTTTATGAAGCGGATCACATTAACACCTCGCCTAGTTAATGGACAGGTCTTAGTGCAGTAAATAGATGTTAGTATTGGTAGGTTATAGGTAAAGGATAGTATCAGTGTTGTGCCTCGAGTAATGGTGGCTGGTTGTTGTACGTGGCTCCTCAGGTGACTCGCTTGTTACTTCGACCGTCTTAAGCCGCCGCCTCCTACACTTTGTACTGCCACTTACAGGACCAAGTGGTTGCGTCTTAAAGGAGAGTTGCTACTTGGGCAAAATGTACATGTGGCTCATTTAAATGTTTATATCGCGAAGTTGAAGGGGAGAATTACATTGCTAATTTCCCTTGATGCTGTTTATGTACCGGAGAATGTTCAACACTACACCGTAGCGGAGGAACATTTGGCCGAGTATGTGGAATGTGGGATGGCGTTTCCCGTAGATTTAATGAATACAATCATTTAAATAGGGTTTGAGTCTGTATATTGAAGAATGGGTACAGTACATCAAGGTGATATCTCGTGTAGCTTCTTAACGTAATGATGGTGATGATAAGTGAAGAAATCTAACGGTATAGTGTGTCGTTTGTTTGTCGTGTTGGCGCCTGGCCGGGTGTGATAGTTGCTGGAGACGTATAAATATACCTTGTCTGTTAATTACACCTTAGCCTGCCTCCTCTACCCCTGCTGGTTGACATTAAGGAGGTATCGAACAGATTTACGATCTTCACTGGTAAACAAATGACCAGTTGTCATGGTAAACTTATCATATGAAAAGTAGATTAGGGTGACTTTTTACGTTTGTTTCTGGTAAAAAAAAATATTTGATAGCATTTTTGTGCAGGAGTTGGGATTAGTATACAAGTGAGCAGTAATTATTGACTAGACAGATGAACATGATAACACAGAAGCAAGTGTTTGATGCGTAAATGATTGAGAGTATTGTTGATTGTTCGTCCTGTGTTGTATTAGTTCTTGTAATTTGTCTGAATTGTTAAAGGCGCAATATCCTTCATCCTGTTTAAAAATGTTGCTGGTGCTATTAGCGGTAGTTTATTCATACACCAAATATTGAGGGAATTTTGTTTTGTAGATATTGTAGTGTGTCAGCCAAGTGACTTACATGAAGTATACTTTGTGAATGGGATTTAAAGATAGACTGATTGAGGTGTGTTCATTGAGTAAAAGGGATTTTGTGATTAGGATGTAATGCCAGACTGTATCTCTTCATCAGACAGTGTGGATGTGTTTCGTGAATGGGAATTAATGATGAATTGATATCAATATTCAGTGTATGTGTAAAATATATTAGCTGTGTATAATTCCTGGTGAGGGCGAGGCAGATGAACTAAACAGTGTTGTTGTTTGTGTGTTGCAGGTCAGAGCCTGGGCTACGGGTTCGTCAACTATGTCCGGCAAGACGACGCTGAGCGAGCCATCAACCAGCTCAACGGGCTACGACTCCAAAACAAAACTATTAAGGTCAGACCATGTCCCGCTGTGGGCCTCCTCCTTATGTTGGTTCCTCATCTCCATCTTGGTGTTGTTTGGCGCCTGTAACCTCTCCCCTCCAACTCCTCGGTCACTTCATCAGGCCGGTCCTCCTCCCCCCCCCCTATGTCTCCCCCATCATGAATCAGTCAGTTCAATGTTATGTCTATTTACTGTATGTCATTAATGTCATCAACCAGTTGGGGAATTACTGGGCCATCACCTCACTGCTTAAATACTACAGTATTTATTTTTAATTTAGGTGTAGACTGTAGTGTTAATCATAGCATTTCTCTCCAAACCAAAAGACTGAGGTTGAATTTACTTTATACGTTGTTTTATTGTTTATTTACAACTTACACGTTTACCATCATGCTTCCCTTCCATCACCCTTTTTGTAGTTCTCTTTTTGGGAAGAAAATAATGCTCATTAACTGTGACTGAGGTACAATGTGTATCAGTCAGTCGTCAGTGATAATGCAGTGTACTGTAGGCACTAGTTGTTAGGTCGAGCAAATGAAGATTTGGACGTCACTGAGAATATGCTATATACTGTAGCGTTAACATGGATTGTATGACTGTCTAGTGTTAGTATGTGAGTGTCGTGTGTATGAAGAGTGTACTGTACAGTGGTCGGTGTATCTTGACAGGTGTCGTACGCGAGGCCGAGTAGCGAGGCCATCAAGGGGGCCAACCTATACGTGTCGGGCCTGCCCAAGTCTATGACCCAGCAGGACCTGGAGGGCATGTTCCGCGCCTACGGCTCCATCATCACCTCTCGAATCCTCTGCGACAATATTACAGGTGAGTGTAGCCCCACACACCTCCCTCTTTGTCTTTAAGTTAGTGGGGGTGATCCCGTGATACTCTACTGAATGTGGTAGGTTGAGTTCTGAAATTGTATTATTACATTTTGCTACACCTGTCTTAGAATTATATGAACGTTTTAGGTTATTTTATTTTGTCCCCCAAATCATTTAAATATTTGTTATCATAATGAGTGTGTAAGACTGTTTCTCTCGTCCTCCAGGATTGTCAAAGGGCGTGGGTTTTATCCGGTTTGACCAGCGTATTGAGGCGGAGCGAGCTATCCAAAAATTGAACGGTACAATCCCAGAAGGCGCAGCAGAGCCCATCACTGTCAAATTCGCCAATAACCCCTCGAATAACAACAAAACGGTGCCGCCCCTGGCAGCGTACCTGTCCCCTCTGACGCGCCGCTACGGCGGACCCATCCACCATCCAGCAGGCCGCTTCCGCTACATTCCCCTCTCGCCCCTTACCAGGTGGGTCTGTGTGGCTGGAGACCCGCGCTCATCCCCCCACGCTCACACCCCCGCCCCTCACATGCTCCCCCCCTCTCAACAAATGATCACATGCTCTTTTCCCCACAGTGCATCACTTGCTTCCCCCTCTCAATATTGTCACTTCTTCCCCCCTCTGGATAGTGTTAACATGCTCCCTCTGTGTTCCACTGCTACACCCTAGTGTTGTCTTTACACCAGCTGAACTATCAACTTTTTTGGGCTTCACATTGGTAAGACATTTTAGTGTAAACAAACAGTCACTAAACAGTTTTAGTATTGGTCTTGACCACTACACACACACACACACACACCTAACTCAGTAGTGTTGCCTTAATCCTCTCCCCGTCCTCGCCCAACTCATGCCACCTGTACACTGGTTTCATTGAGGCAGCGGATGTGTCTACACACTGTGGACACGTCTACACCACCACACTTCTGAAGCAGGAAATATTTCTACACTTCAATATGGAGTTACAGTTCGCATTTTTTTTTACTCGATTGACATCTATAGGGGTGGGATAATAGTTACTGGCTATTAATAAGTTAGGATGAAGCTCACTTTCCGACGTACAGTATTATGTTCGACAAAAGGAAAACTGTATCTTGTAGTTGAGTGAGTAGAGTGCACAGAACAAAGGTGGTTATGGTAGTGTTACACATCACGAGGTTGGATCAGCTCTCGAGTATGATTCCCCACTGGCAGAATGATACACATCACTCGTTCTCTGTCGCTGTCATGAAAGTAATAATGTCTTCTCATCAGTTGGCAGCTACAGTAAGTTTATCCTTGTTACCTTAAAGATGGGCGTCTTAATACTCCACGGGTAATATTCTCTTATTATATTCTAAACATTTTCCCGTGATCTCATTATCTCAGGGGGTGGGAAAAGGCACTATGGAGCCAGAGCTTCCTATTATAACCCCACGACACAGCGATCTCTCCCTATTATCTGGATAATAACCCCTCCATAGTACCCCGAAGGTGGTGGTAACTCCTCATGACTTCGATGGGGATAGACTGCTCTTCATTACCTGGGAGTCGTTAGTAATAGTTTAGACCCTAGAGATGAAAAATACCCTCTCATTAACCCCCTTCGCCCCCCCCCCACCCCTCCCCCACCGAGTAATTAGCACCTGTTCACTTGTTCACAATTATGGTGGAACACTTTGTTACCCACAGTATTTAGTCAATTTTGTTTTCATTTGACTATCGAAAATTTAATTAGCCCCACTTGACTCACTCCACCTTGTATCGGAACGAGTTAAAATGAGAATTAAAAAAAAGTATAATGATCATTTAGCCTCTTCATTACCCAGGTGGTGTTAAGTGCTTATCATTAAGCGAAATAGTAATAAGCTATCCTCGTTACCATGGTGATAAGCCTCTTGATTACCCACGGAGGTTAGTATTACCTCATTAACGCCCAGAGATCTAATCCCCCCCTCCTCCTCCACTTCCTTTCTTCCCTAGACTTTTTGGGGGGTCCGTCTCTTATTTTCCCTCCCTTTCTACCCCTTCCGTTCCTCCCTTCCTCTTCCCTCAACTCCCCTTTCCTCCCTTCTCTTCTTTCCTCTCCTCTACTCCTCCTCCAGGTTGCTTTTAGTACCCCTCATCACCCCTCGGTAGATGTTGGTTCCATGTCCCTCCTAGATGGTTTTTGGCTCTCCTCCCTCAGCGGTTGTTGAGTTTCCTTTTTCCTCCTCAATGACTGTTGGCTCCCGTTCCAATATGGTTACTGTCAACTATGTTCTGCCCCAAGTGATGATCGACTCTTCCCTGGATGTTTGGTGACACTCAGGTGGTGATCGACTCTTCCCTGGATGTTTGGTGACACTCGGGTGATAGTCGACTCTTCCCTGGATGGTTGGTGACACTCAGGTGGTGATCGACTCTTCCCTGGATGGTTGGTGACACTCAGGTGGTGATCGACTCTTCCCTGGATGTTTGGTGACACTCGGGTGATAGTCGACTCTTCCCTGGATGGTTGGTGACACTCAGGTGGTGATCGACTCTTCCCTGGATGGTTGGTGACACTCAAACTTCCCTCCTAACTGGTCTTGTCTCAGTCGATGGCGTTGCTTTTGGTTTGAAGTTTTCTCGTTCTTTCTTTGGGAGACCTCGTAAGCCTTTATGGCCTCACCTGGTGCTTGAGGCGTCTGAATCACCCTCGACTTCTCTCATGCTCTCGTCAAGGCTCATAATGTAGACTCGCTGGTGCTCATAATGACCCGAAGTGAGTCATGGGGTGCAGATAATGCCAAGTGACTCATAATGACTCAAAAGTGATTCATAATGATGCGTCTTGACTCGGGGTATCGTGGCCCCAGATGAGGTGGTCATAATGATGCCAGGTGTTCATAATGACCTCCGGGTGATTTAATTGATTCTCCTAATGAAGCCAGGTGACTCACAAGAGCTCATTAAGTGGTTCACAGGTGCTCTCACTGATGTTAATTGACTAGTAGATGCTCACAATAATTGCCGAAGGGCTCAGATGTTCATGGTGATGGTAATGGATGGTGGTAGCCATTTTCCTCCTCTTGGTTGGTGGCGTAAGTATTCCTCCTGAATGATGGGTTTCCTCTTACTCCATAAACGCTTCTTGACTCTATTTTCCTCCCATTATATCCGAACACAACCTTGATATTCTTGGTAGTTTCTGACTGTCCATCCCCCCTCTCCTCAGGTAGTTATTGTCCTCACTATACTCACCTGGGATAGTTATTGTCCCATTCTTCCTTTTCTGGTCATTTCCCCCCTTACCTTCCTGGCCTACTAATTACACCCTTCCACCTCCTGATGGTCGATTTGGTCCGTTTTTGTGGTGCTGCCTTTGTCTCCCCTAGATGAAGTTAGGGTTTTATCTTTCTAAGGTGAGGAGTAACTTCGCCTCCTTACCTCATGTGTCATCGGCGTGACCAGCTAGTCTCTTCCTTCCTTCCCCCTCCCCCCCCTTACATGGTATGGTGTTGTTTTCCCCCTCTTCGCTCTCAGTGGTCGTAGTCGTCGTTCTGCCTTCGGAGTATCGTTTCCGTCACTACCTTAGCGTGGTTGGTGTTGCTTCCCGAACTTCACCCGGAAGCCATGATACCAACTCATTTCCTCTGCAAACCATTTTCTTCAATGATTTGTGTTGGTCACTTGCTTCCTCCTCCTCCTCCTCCTCCTCCTCCTCCTCTCTCCTCCTCCTCCTCCTCCTCCTCCTCTCCTCCTCTCCTCCTCCTCTTCCTCCTCCTCTTCCTCCTCCCTCCTTTGTTGCCTCAACGCCTCCCCTGATACATGGATAACTTCTCTATTGTACCCAGAGGTGATTGTTGTCTCTTCCCTCAGAGTTTAGTGTGGTTTCATTCCCTCACCTCGGGGATGATTCGGGTCCCGTTCCTCCTCTCCAGAGATGATTGTTGACCTCGCAGTCCCGTCCCAAGGAATGGTTATTGGTGCCTTTTCCCAAGTCAATGGTGAATTTCCCCCTCCCTCATTTACCGTGTTTATATATATATATATATATATATATATATATATATATATATATATATATATATATATATATATATATATATATATATATATATATATATATATATATATATATATATATATATATATATAATCGGTCACTGTATCCCGTGGGGTACTGCACCAAGAATCTTTTGGTTAAATTTGTTTTATAAATAGAGGAATCTGTAGAAGTTGGCAGCAGTCCAGTGCCTCGTGGCCATCATCATAAACACGAAGTGAAAGGTGCTTAATAACACTGGTGGTGGCTCAAGCTTCTTTAAAAAATGAATAATCGTCAAGGTTGATTATGAAATGGAGAAAAGAATTGTATTTAGTGCGGCAGAATGGTGTAAAATTCAGCAGATTGCTCGCCCACCTCTCTGGCTTCTGGAATTCCAGGCAGCCACACTCCCTCGCCCTCACCCCCCAGCTTTTATGGGCAGGGACTCTGGGCTCGCCAAAACTTTAATTTACTTTTCTCATCCATGAAATTCAGTGTATGAAATAACGTGGAGTAAGGGTAAAACTTTCCTTTTTTCCGCGCATGAAGGGCGAGGGTATTATAAAAGACAAAAACCGCCAATACTGCCATGCTTATCCTTCACTTTAATAACTTCAATACATTTGGTGCACTTGTGTATTAAATTCACGGCGTATTGGAACAAGATGTCTTGCTAAATATTGGTAAAACACCCAAGACTGTCAGGTGCACACACTTACATGAAATTGAATTCTACAAAGTACAAAAAAAAAAAAAAATTGGAATTGTACGCTACTGAATTTATACTAAAATGTGTGTCAGAGGAAGAGTGGTCCTGCGCGATAGTTTCTGAAGTGCCTGTAGTTTTGGGATAGTTTAGAATGGTTCCAGATGATGTCACCCCCCAATCCCCCTCCCCCCCCCACATACATAAACTACCAGTGTTTAATAGTTTGATGATAAGTTGAATAAATAATGAGCTATTTTTGATATATAATGGGCAGTCAAGAAAGTCTTACTCTATTCTCCCAGTCTTCTCTCGTCCCTCGTATATTTTTATACTTCGGTGTTTTTCCTTCTCTTCCCTCCATCGTGACTGCTGCCCCTCTTCCCGATTGTTCCTGCCCCCTTCCTGACTCCCTCCCCTTCCTCCTCCCCTTCCTCCTCCCTTCCTCCATTCCTGACTCCTTCCTGACTCCTCCCCAGCTCTCCTTCCTCCCTCCCCTTCCTGACTCCCTCCTTCCCTCCTCCTTTCCCCTCCCTCCCTCCCCCCTTCCAGCTCCCCCCCTGGCTCCTCCTCCCCCCCTTCCCTCCTTCCCCCCTCCCCCCCTTCTGACTCCTCCTCCCCCTTCCCACTCCTCCCTCCCCCTTCTGTCCCTCCTCCCCTTCTCTCCTCCCTCCTCCCCCTTCCCCTCCCTCCCCCTTCCTGTTCCTCCCTTCCCCTCCCCCCCCCCTCCCTTCCTCCCTCCCTCCCCTTCCTGATTCCTCCTTCCCCTTCCT